TGAGCCTATATATCTCATTTTTTGTGAAAGATATCGAAAAGTGGCTAACTAGTAAAATGTTGCTGATATCCTGATAAACATTTTACTAGTTAACCACTTTTTAATATCTTTCAAAAGAAGCGAGATATATAGGCTCAAAGTGGACGATCCGGGTGTCGTTCTATTAGAGGTTTTACGGTATGTTCCTTATAGAACTTGTAATTTCTAATGTGTTTTCTCTCATTCCACTTATAAAAATGCAATTTTAAAATGATTGGAGTTATTTTTTCAAAAACAATACACAATCCACAGAAACTATTAGTTTAATAAAGAATTTCTATTGTTTATCACCTGTTTAATGATGAACTGTCAAGAAAGCGCTATCATTTTAGACGGTCCGTCTTCGAGGCGCAAATCGTTGCAGACGGACCGTCGGCGGCGCGCGATTCGACTGCCGACTGTTCGCTTTTCGGCAGTCCGCGCCCGCCAGACGGCCCGTTTTTCGGCAGTTCCCCACTCTCTCCTCTCTCTGTGTCTCCACGCCCACTTTCCCTCCCCTTCTTATACACCATCGCCCTCTCTTCCTGTCGCCGCCCGGTTAGCTCAGTCGGTAGAGCACCAGACTCTTAATCTGGTTGTCGCGGGTTCGAGCCCCGCATTGGGCTTATGCTTTTCTTTCTTTTTTGCTCGCTTTTTATATAGATTTGGGTAGGCGGGAACTCATATTTTTTGAATTTTTGCATATTTTTCAAAACACACAAATTTTATTCAATAATATTTAAATTAGACAGTTTCATATGAACTAAAAGAGGAACAAGTTGGAGGAGTATGGGTGCACTGGGTTACTGTAGATTTGTCAGATTCCTTTTCCACGTGGCTCCTTGGCTTCTTCTTAGAGACTGGAGATCTGAAAATATTGATTTTTTTCTAGAATTTTCCAGAATTTTCTCTTACAAACTGAGTTTTAGAAGAGCAGCCGAGCAGAAAATTTGGGTTGTTGTGACAAAAGTGAAAATGCAAAGAACGCAGAAGAGAGAGATTGGAAATTCTGAAAATTCCAAAAATCTTAAAATTCGAAATTGTGAAAATTTCAAAAAATCAAAATATTCAAAAAATCTTAAAATTCGAAATTCAAAAAATTCCAAAAATCTTAAAATTCGAAATTGTGAAAATATCAAAAAATCAAAATATTCAAAAAATCGTAAAATTCGAAATTCAAAAAATTCCAAAAATCTTAAAATTCGAAATTGTGAAAATTTCAAAAAATCAAAATATTCAAAAAATCTTAAAATTCGAAATTCAAAAAATTCCAAAAATCTTAAAATTCGAAATTGTGAAAATATCAAAAAATCAAAATATTCAGAAAATCTTAAATTTGGAAATTCTGAAAATTCCAAAAATCTTAAAATTCGAAATTGTGAAAATTTCAAAAAATCAAAAAATTCAGAAAATCTTCAAATTCGAAATTGTGAAAATTTCAAAAAATCAAAATATTCAGAAAATCTTAAATTTGGAAATTCTGAAAATTCCAAAAATCTTAAAATTCGAAATTGTGAAAATTTCAAAAAATCAAAAAATTCAGAAAATCTTCAAATTCGAAATTCAAAAAATTCCAAAAATCTTAAAATCGAAAAATTCGAAATATTCGAAAAGCTTAAAAAAATTAAAAAATTCAAAAATTCAAAGATTTTAAAACTCAAAAAATTTTCAAAATTTTTTTGAAAAAATTTTTTAAAAATGTTCTAGAACGTTCTAGACCTACCCATTGTCATTCCATCAAAAACCTCAGTGGTGAACATCGAGTAGAAAAATACGAAAAATTCGAACATGACCATTCCAATCTGCAATTATTTTTAATTGGGTAATTACTAATTATCCAATTAATTACCGTCACAAATGCGAAAATCGAGGCGAGAAGTCGTGAATTCGCCGCCAAAATCGTATGAATCAACAAAGCACTGGCCAGGAAAATAATCAATAAATCATTTTTTTGTGGTGCAACAAATGCAACACCCAAAGAAATGGTCATGAAAAAGTAGGCAACACTTTGGAGGAAAGTCTGGAAAAATGCGAAATTTTGGGCCGGAAAATTATCGGATAGATTCTATGGATTTTGAGTTTTTCGAAAATCTACAGTAATCCCAAAAAATCGGAATTTTGAAAATCGATAAAGGTAGGCTATTTTTATACTCATTTTGAAGCTCTAAACGGACTGAATTCAAAAATTAAAACAAAAATATTCGGAATAGACGAAAAATTGGAAGAATCAACATTTTTCGCAAAAAAACCAAAATTTTGAAAACCGATCATGACTTTTTAAATTTTCATCAGATCTTGTTCAATGTAAGTTGTTTGAGTTTTGCTTGTTTAGAGCTTCAAAATGAGTTTAAACAAGACTAGGTACTGAGAATTTTGAATTTTCGATTTTTTTTTTTGGATTACTGTAGATTTTCAAAATAACCAAAATTTCTGGAATCTAGCCATGTTTGTACTCATTTTGAAGCTCTAAACGCGCTGAATTCAAAAATTTTAATTTCGAATGGATTTATTCGAAATAGACAGACATGTGAAGGAATCCAGAATTTTCCAAAAATCCAAAAATTTATAAAAACGATCATAACTTTTCAAATTTTGATCAGATCTTGTCCAATTTGAGTTACTTGAATTTTGCCTGTTTAAAGCTTCAAAATAAGCCTAAACAAGCCTAGGTTCTGAAAATTTAGAATTTTTCGAAAATCTACAGTAATCCTAAAAGCTGAAATTTTCGAAATCCATTGAAGTAGGTCATGTGTATACTCATTTTGAAGCTCTAATTATCCCAAATTCAACATGCTAAGTTTCAAGCAAACATTTCGAGAATCCAGAAAGATACGGTACTTTTAAACTACTGTATCCCTATTTTTAAGGGGTTACTGTACCTACCCCAATTGTGGATTTGAACACAAATGGTTGATTCTGATCCGCACTGTCGTTTTCCAGCATTTTTTGTTTGGTTTCTTCTGGAAGACAACAAAAAGCGATTATTGATTTTTTCCAAATTTACAGATTTTGTTGATTTTGCTGGAATTGTCTGAAAGGGCTAGGGTGTCAGATGGGTGGCGAAAAGAAACTAGTTATGCTTTCGGTACAGTAGGACAGATTTTTTTTCCTTTTTTGATTTTTTTAAAAATGGATCACAATAAAAATACTTGTTTTTCAAAGTTACATTTTTATGAAAACAAATGGTCAGGGTTACTGTAGTTCTGGAAATTTTTAAAAATAAATTTAGAATTTAGGTTTGAAAAGTCAAGAGCTCCAAAATGAGTATAAACATGACCTACTTTTATCGATATTGAAAATTTCGATCTTTTTGGGATTACTGTAGATTTTCGAAAAATTCAAAATTAACAGAACATTGTCGTGTTTGGTCTCATTTTGAAGCTCTCAACCAGAAAAATTCAATTTTTAGGTTTATTTTTGGAAATTTCAATAACTACAGTAACCCTGACCATTAGTCCGATTGAAAGCAGTGATACGAGTAATTGTCGAGTAATTGTGACCTAACTTTTCAGATTTGAGGAACTCGGCTATGAAAATTAAAAATTTCAATTTAAAACGTCGAGAGCTGCAAAATGAGCCCAAACACGACTAGGTTCTGTGAAGATTGTATTTTTCGAAAATCTACAGTAATCCCAAGAAACTGGCAATTTTGAAAACCCTTAAAAGTGAGTCATGGTTATACTCATTTTGAAGCTCTAAACGTGCCAAGTTCAAAAAAATTAGTTTCAAACAGAAATATTCAAGATAGACTTAAATTTGACAGAACCAAAATTTTTTGAAAAAAAACCCATAATTAAAAAAAATTACTCATAACTTTCTAGGTTTTATTCGAATTTGGTCATTCTTAGTTTTTCTGAATTTGTCTTGTTTAGAGCTTCAAAATGAGTATAAACACGACGCGGTTCTGAAAATTTTGAATTTTTCGAAAATCTACAGTAATCCCAAAAAACCGAAATTTGCAAAACAATTAAACCTAGTTGTGCTTAAACTCATTTTTAAGCTCTTAACGCCCCAAAAAATCAAGTTTCAGAGAAAAATATCGGAAATAGACGAAAATCTAACAAATCAAGAATTTCCAAAAATCCCAAAAATTCTTATAAACGATCATAACTTCCCAATTTCTTCTCTAAGTTTGACCAATCTAATTTATTCATATTTGGCTTGTTGCCAGCTTTAAAATGAGTATAAACTTGACTAGGCACTGTGAATTTCAAAATTTTCAAAAATCTACCGTAATCCGAAAAATCTCAAAATTTCAAAAATCAATGAAACCTAGTCATGATTATACTCATTTTAAAGCTCTAAACGTCCCAAATTCGAATTTGTAAAAAAAAATCAACAAAAATCAATAGTTTATTATCTACCAAGTCAATAATATTTTATCACAGGGGTCGGGGAAATCTCGAGACGACGTCATATAAACTGGAATTGTTGAGCAATTGGCTGGAATTTTTTTATAGGCATTTTCCACTTTTTGGACCACTTTTTCAGCCAAAAAATCTGTATATTTTGAATCTATGGGATTTTCAGATATCGTCTCATTTTGGGCCCAATCATTTCCAGATACTCGGTGTAGTGTATCCTTGTAATGTCTAGAAAAAAATCAATAAATCGATAATTCAGCTAGAAAAATCACCTAAAAACTACAGTATTCGCATCCAATTGCACGCTTTTGAATCCGGGTTCCAAGGCGATTGCCTCATGAATTGACATTATTCCAATCTGCAAAGAATTATGGTCAGGGTTACTGTAGTTTTTGGGAAATTTTTTCTATTTCAGATATTTCTGTATGAAACTTAGATTTCTGAATTTGGCGCGTTTAGAGCTTCGAAATGAGTATAAACACGACCTACTTTTATAGATTTTGTAAATTTCTGATTTTTTGGGATTACTGTAGATTTTCGAAAATTCAAAAATTACAGAACCTAGTCATGATTATACTCGTTTCAAAGCTCCAAACAGGAAAAATTTAGAAAACGTAAAAAATGCTGAATACGAATAAAATCTGAAGATTTATAGGTGCTTTTTGAAATTCTGGAATTTTTTCTCAAAAAACTTTAATTCTCGTCTATTCTTAATTTCTGTTTGAAACCTAATTTTTTGAATTTGGCGCGTTTAGAGCTTCAAAATGAGTATAAACATGGCCTACTTTTATGGATTTTGAAAATATCAGTTTTTGGGATTACTGTAGATTATTTTCGAAAAACTCAAAATTCTCAGAACCTAGTCATGTTTATACTCATTTTGAAGCTCTCAACTTCCCAAGTTCAAATTACTAACTTTCACGGCCTAATTCCCCAATACTAAAAAGTTAGGCCCCCTTACTCGGTCCGGTCGTATCACTGCTTTCGATGCAAACCATGCGGGGTCGGCGGCTTTTGTGTATTTTCTTGTGAAAATCTCTTTTTTCACCTGATCCGAACTTCATAAAATTTCGGAGTCTCTCCATTTTTTATCACTTTTAAATGAGGTAATTTGACTTCTGCTGAGTTTGTTGAATCCAATTCATTCAGAATATCTATGAATTTTTTGTCTTTTCCAGTTGTATGAATTCGTTCATCGATATCGATGAATGCGGTCCACTTGGAGTGATATTTGGAACGCATGTGGCAATCCTGGAAAAATTTGGGTTTTTTTTTGAGCCAAAATTTACTTAAATTGGTTGAGAATGAGCAATGTTATGGGTGTTTGAAAAATTGATATTTTTGAAAATTTATTAAATGTGACCTAACTTTTTAATCTTGGGGAATTCGGTCATGTTAATTAAAAATTTGAATTTGGGACGCCGAGACCTTTAAAATGAGCCTAAACACGACTAGATTCTGTAAAATTTCGAAAATTTCGAAAATCTACAGTAATCCTAAAACTCTGAATTTTCAAAACAGGAAGAAGTAGGTCATGTTTATACTCATTTTGAAGCTCTGAACAAGCCAAACTCAAATTTTCAATTTTTATTCAAAAATTCCGAAAAGTACAGTAACCCTGACCATTTTTTCAACCAAAAAAAATATGACTTGTTTTTTTTTTAGGTCATATTTTTCACAATTTTGTCTCGAATCATTCGAAACTTAATTTTTCAAATTCAACTTGTTTAGAGCTTTAAAATGAGTACAAACATGACCTACTTTTATAGGTTTCAGGAATTTCCATTTTGGGTTTACTGTAGATTTTTTTTGAAAAATTCAAAGGTTTCAGAATCTAGTCATGTTTAAGCTCATTTTGAAGCTCTTGACAAGCTAAACTCAAATTTTTACAAAAAACCAATCAATACTTGATTTTCAAAAAGTTGTACCTGAATTTCAATCAGCTGCCATGCATAGAACGGTCGCTCGTATTTCTCTTGTAAAACTTTCACTTCGATGTCACCGCTACTGTAACCAAATTTTTGCAAAATTTAAATTATTGATTTTTTTCTCTGAAAATTGCTCACTTCTGATACTCATCCAAAATGCGGCGATCGTAATCCGAAATATTTCCAATGTGAAAATAAAAAAATGTGGCTCCTTCCATTTTATGATGCTCTATGAATTCTGCGATTTGAATCCATTTGGGTTCTTGACCGTAGAAAGCGGCCACACATATGGTGAAATTATGGACCGGTTCTGAAAAATTCAAATTTCAAAAAAAATAATTCAAAACAATTTATTTGTTCTTCGAAAAAAATGTACATTTTCTGAAAACGCATATTTTATTTAGTTTATTCACAAAATTTCAGCTTTCTATCTCTATTTTCAGCTGAGTTACAGCACTTTGAATTCCGCGCGAGACAGTGTAGAGAGGAGGGAGG